CCCTGGCAAACAACATCATTTTGCACTTAAACATTCACAACAATTCGGATAAAATATTGTTTATTATTTATATGGAATAGAGCTTCTACTATAGAAACTCGAACAAGAATATTTTTCTAAAGCCTCTAAGATAAAAGAGACTTGATATTGTACTTGATTAAGAGCCTCCAAGAAAGAGACTCGTCTGTGATTTTTTTTTCAAAACTACATTATATCAATTGTATTGCAAGTTATATTTAATCGATAGGTATACTCTCGAGTAAACCGTACAAAAAAAAAAAATTTTTTTCAAATACGCAAAATAATTTTATAACGGCTTCCGGAACCAGATATCAAGTTAAGAAAAATAATAGTAAATTATTTCCATATACCATTATTACATATTCAAAACCCCGTACATCTTCACATACTAATTCAATCGAAACTGACTCATTAGAATTTAATATAGCGAAAATGACTGATCAAACATTATTAGCAAAAGCTCGTAAAGCACGATTTGATGATTTACCAAATTATTCTGGACATCCTTCTGAGGATGTCGAACGGTTTTTAAAAAGCATCAAGAATATAACCAGGGCAACTGATGAATCAAATAATCATGAAATTCTAGAAATTGCTCGTGGTAAACTAATTCAATCAGCAGGAATATGGTTCGATAATAATGAACCTAATTTCAAAAAATGGTCGGATTTCGAAACTGCATTTCGAAATCGATATTTTTCTACAACATCAACTCATAAGAAATTTGATACATTAAAACAACGTAAACAATTACCGGATGAACCGATCACGTCTTATTTCGATGACATTATTAATTTATGCCGGGAAATTGATTCAAACATGTCAGAAAAAATTATAATTCAATATTTAATGAGTGGAATTAATCCTGATTTTAAGAAGGAATTATCAAGACGTGAATCATCTATCAATACATTGAATGAATTTTTAAAATATGCAAAAATTGAACAAGATTTACATGATACATTTGATAATCTATTACTTGATTCACAACAACGTCATCTCAATTATAATCACTCATCAATTCCATCATTAACTACTACCGTTAATCAACCAAAACAATATTATAATAAAATGAAGCACACCAATTATGTTTCACATTCAGCACAATTTCAGAGCTCCGTTTCTCAGCGGAACTCGATTCCAACACTTGGAAATTG